TGCTATTAAATAAAATAAAAAAATCATGTTCTTTAAAGCTATCTAGGTCATCTGATGTTGTATTTCTTATATTTCTTCTTATATTTCATCTCTTATATTTCTGATGTTGTATTTCTTATATAAAATTTCTTATACTGGGCAATGACAATTTTGTTGTTCTGGATTTAGAAAAAGGTTAAACTATGACAGTTAGCTGGTATGTTAGAAAAGACAGTTGGTGGTTCTGTAGGACATTCTTTTCCAGGATAAAATGTAAAATATTTGCAATCTATAGTCCAATGAAGTCGGCACACCACAGTGTGCTTATTTACAATCGGATTTTTATGCATCATCAACTACAAAGCAGACACCTTTGTAGTTGATGACGCATAACCACTATTACAGCATGTAGCACAACATTTTCGAGGCATAATTGATAATTTTTTGTTAGATAAGTTTCACTTGACAAAAAGATTAACCTTCAACTGCAATTTTTTTTTTGTTGTTTATTAAATAACGCTACACAGTCGCTTGAAATTTTTGTTTAGACCAATCGCTGTTGAGTATAAACATCGCAAAAATGTTTCATTCCATGTAAATCTATCCATATAGAATAGACCTCCAGTCAAAAAATATTTTATCGCAATGTCAAGGCCTGTATTTCTAGAAGACTAGGTACCACCCCCATAGCCAGTTTGCTATGATCACTTAATAATAAATGGCCAGGAAACATGTCAGAAAAAGTCTACTATCATGTGATTTAGTAAAATATGTTTCATGGCCTACTATATTGATGGCCGTATATCTTACATTTTTGAGGGGGAAATTAAAAGGCAGATTTTTAAAAGTTTTAGACATAAAATACACTAAAATATTATTTTTAAAACCATTCTTTTTTTCTGAATTTACTAACTAGTAAAAAAATTTTATTAAAATTGGTTAACAAATGTGCTGCACCAAAATTTACATCGAGATATTTAAAGAAATCCCAAAACTCCGAAACATTTTGTGTTCATATTAAAGAGTATGATTACAATGCAACTTTTTTATTATAGTCGAAGCTTGTCTTCTCCTTTTTGTGTAGGCCAAAAAGTCTGCATAATATATGCCACAATCTACAGATTTAATAATTTATTCAAGTGCGTTTTATTCCTAAGAGTTTTAGTACATGATGTCATTGAATTTTTTGTTTGTTTACATAATCGATCTTTTAAAACCGGAGGTGAGCTTTAACTAAAATAATTTTTCTTGGTATGCATTTATTTTTTTGTTTTAATCAAAAAAGTTTAGCCTAAATAATTTTTTTTATCATTCTCTTTAATACAAACATTACTTATTTCTAAGGTTTGGGATCCCTTTAAGCAACAAACGCAAACAAATTTCATCTTTTAATTTTCTAACAGACCAAAAATTAAATCAACTTTGGATACAATTTGTTAATCGTTCAGATTGGACTCCAACAAAACATTCTTTTTTATTTGAAATTCATTTTGAAAATAAATATATAATTAAAGGTGATAAATGAGGCTCATCATGGGGCTCACAGTGGCTGGTGAACTTTAATTCAGATAAAACTCAATATTTTTCAGCCAATCATTATCGCAATAATTTAGACCTTCCTATATTTATGAACGGTAATGTACTCCATAAGTCATATACCCTCCATCTTCTAGGATTAACTCTCACTTCTGATCTTTCTTGGAAACCTTATATCAAATCCGTTGCAAAATTAGCATCTGCTAAAGTTGCATCTCTTTATCCAGCTCAACACTTTCTTACTCTGGATTCTATTCTTTATCTCTATAAATCTTAAATCCGACCTTGTATGGAATACTGTTGCCATATCTGGGACAGATCTTCTCATGATGCCCTTTCTCTTTTAGACAAGGTGCAAAAACGCATTGTAAATATAGTTGGACCTGCTCTTGCAGCCATCCTTCAACCTCTGTCATATTGTCGTAATGTTGCTTCTCTTTCTCTTTTCTACAAATACTATAATGGGATTATAAAGAGCTAGCACCTCTTGTGCCATTTACTAAAATTCGTTCTCGTGTTACTTGTCATTCAATTAAGTCTCATCCTTTTTCTGTTACTGTTCCTAAGTGCTCCAAAAACTCTTATTTGTCTAATTTTTTTCCTCGAAAATCAGTTCATTGGAATTCGCTTCCTTCATCTTGCTTTCCTGATTCATATAATTTGCAATCTTTTAAGTCATCTATCAATCGTTATCTTGCTCTACAACCTTTATCTTTTCTCTTCCAGTAACTTCCAACACTAATTAGTGGTTGCTTGCAGCCTTGTTGGAAGCGAAGATGTTAAAAAATAAAAATATAAAAAATGCACCTTGAATTGGTTTTTAAAATCTGTTCGTTCTATATACTTTTATACTTGTAAACTTTTGCAAAAAATCATCATAAGCAGTTTTAAAAACTTCTTAAAGTCCTCCTAAAAATAGAATATTCCAAAAAGATCAGTTACAAATATTTAAGAAAAATTTATATTAATTTATTATTATAAAAATGAATTACAAATGTACAAATTTGAATGAAGCAGTAGCACCACCAGGGTTTTAATTTAAATGAATTAATAAAGGTGTTGTATTTTATAATATAGTATTTAATGAACAGACATATTTTCTAACTATATTAGAATCAGTAATGATTGATTTAAGACCTAAATGTATGTTTGCAATACAAAGGAACACCATTCCATTACCAAGCTGGTTTGTTGGTTTGTTGGTTGGACATAATGTAAAAGTTGATCAAATTAGTATGCTAGAAAATCATTGTATTGTTTTAAATAAAATTAAAGATAGAGAGCTTTATCAGGCACAAGCCATGTTCTGCAGAGATGATTTGATATGCATAACTTCTATGATATACATCTTTGCAGGCATACAAACTACTAGTTCCCTTTACCATCAATATCTTTGTAAGATAAAGTTCAAGAAGAAGCTATGGATTCTATAAAGGTTTTACAGCTTCTATGTAAAAAAGGAAAAATTTTTACCTGATTGTACCATGATAGTAGATGAAATATATTTACAAAAAGTAGCACAATATCAAGGAGGAGAGTATGTTGGTACTGACAAAAAAGGTAACTTGTGCAAAGGAATAGTCACATTGAAAATCAAAATCAAGAAATTATGGAAAGTTCCCTTGATTATAATAATAAAGAAGTGACAATAACTATAGCAGGCTATGTTGCAAAAAAATTTTTAAGAAGGTCTAAATGCGAAAACTACAAAACACGATTGAAAGCTGGAACCGTTGATCTTGGAAATAACTCCTTATCTCTCTCTCTCTCTTATCATATGGTGGTATTTGTACTGTACAAACAGCTTGCAGTATTTGTTTATAATGTATTTGCAAAGGGTTTGGTTTCCAATAACAACTTTAAAACATTTAAAAGTTATTATTGGAAACTATTTACATTGCCAATATGTCAGTTGTATAGCATTTGTTTATATAGTTTAATAAAATTTACCTATTGTTTGGTTTCTTTAAACTACTTATTGACATTTTTTTCATAGCATTAAAATATACATGAATATAGATATATATTATAGATAAATACAATATACATAGATATATGAATGTATACTGATTTGAATAATTTGTGACTATTCTCCAACAAATGTCTTTAAATCTTTGGTACCTATTTTATCTTCAAAATGTATGTATAATAAAAAACAACTTTTTTCTAGTCTGTTACAAAAGTAAGATCAGATCCAAGTGATTAAAATTGTTGTATTAAAGCAGTTGTATTAATACAAGTGTAGCAAAGAGGTACTAATATAATAACTGTTATCTATGGCAAGGAAAAGACATTTTATCACGACAGGAGTATAAAGTCAAGTTAAGAAAATAGAGCCACTTTAGATGTAAGATTGTCAGGAAGATCATTAAAGTAAATGAGAAATAATACAGGACCAAATTTGGGATTGACCAAATGGACCTTGTGGGGAGTTATAAGAGTTACTGGAAATAAAAATCAATCATGGTTCAATAATAACTAGTATTTTTAAATTTAAAAAAAATTCAGTATTTTTAAATTCAAAAGAAATTCAGTATTTTCAAATTCAAGATTTTGTTTATTAAAATTGCAACTCATTTTTCTCTACCAAATTTTACATCCATTTTTTTTTACTTACATTAATTATCTTCCTGACAATCTTGCTTCATAAGTGGCATTATTTGATAAGAACTGATTTTCATACTCCTGTCTTGACTAAAGTCTAAATTTATCAATAGCTAAGTACAGGCTGCCAATTTTGAATCTGATCTCTTTTCTGTAACTGCTTGGGGTTTTGCATTTGCTGGTGAATTTTAAGTTCATTATAGTTAAATTGTATACTGCAAACAACTATAGCATTATAGTCGACATAAATAACTCTTAATTTATAATAGTTAAGTGGTTTTTAAATTACAATTTTTGAGGATCATTTGTGGGTCATTATCCAATATCATTAAAAATCGTAGTTAATTAAATTGAATAACGCTAAATAGAAATTATATATTCCACAATCAAAAAAAAAAAAAAAGGTTAAAAATTGAAAATATTTATAAAAAAGAAATTTATAAAAAACTTTAAAATAAGTAAAAAGCAGAAATTAAAAAAAATTTTAAAAAAAATTGAATTAAAAGTAAAAAAAAAAAGTCAATAGTTAAGAAATACTTGTTATAAAACATTCAAAAGATTTTCAACTTTACATTGAAAAACTATAAAAATGAAGATTTGATTTGCTTTTTAAAAATATAATATTCTGCACAATGGCCTAAGTTTGGCATAAAATCTAAACTTTATAATTTTCGTAGTCACAAAACTTGCGATTTATATTTTGTAAGTTAAGCAGTTGCCAAGCACAAAACTTGCAATTTATATTTTACCAAAGTACTAAAGTGCTTGAATTTCATAAAACTGTTATCTAGTTTTCTAACCAATTTTATTTTTTCCTTTCCTCCATTATCAGATTTGTGTTACAAGATTATTTTTACCAGATTACTAGATTTTCAATTTTG